TGAGTTGCATTTTTAGAGCTGCCAAGGCGCAAGTGTCGGATTCTAGCAGCAGTTCTTCGTGATCTAATCTGGAGCCCTGCGAAAATCCCCAACCAGCCTCACAAAAACCCGATTGCTGTCTGGAGAGCAATATTAACATGGAAAGGATGATTGCTTGGAGGGCGGCGGCTAGAAGAGGGTGGCGCCAACATTCTATGACGGCATTGAATGTTGTCAACAGTCGTGGGTGCTCGGCTTTTGCAAGGTTAGCAAGGTCACGATCTCAAGAGCGGCAACGCCACCAAAACACGTGCCTGAAGATCAACGCTATCATCACGAAGATGTGAGTTGACAATAAAAATACATTTGTGTTGATCGCCCTCCATAAGCAATCAAAGCAGTCCAAGAGCTGACAGGGACGTCTCACAATTTCACTCAGCGGTGGCGTCCGAGCACCCCCTAGGCTTTGCCGCCTGAAATGTGCCAGTCGAACGTGGGGCTCCCTATATTTAACCCTTTTCAGTGGCTTTAAAACAAAACCCGTTCTGGCCCATGAAAGGTTTTGTTTTTTCCCTTTTCCGGCCCTTTTCCCCTGGAAAAGGCGATTCTAGGGAGCAATGTAGGGAGCCATCCCCGGCTTCGCGAGGCTTGTTCGCCCTGGGGGCCAGCTTCATGCCGGGACCTTGGGGGCCGAAGGCCGAAGGGGTCGAGGGACTTGAAGGACTGGGCGGAGTCGTTGCAAAGCGGGCACGAGAGCGAGGAACTGTCCGCTGCTCAAAAAACCTTACGGGCTACTGCATGTCTTGCTGAGAGGAACTACAGAAGCGAGAGGAACGGAGCTTGAGCCAGTTGCAACCGTTGAGTGTCTCTACAATTTGCAGTTTACGTTTTTGCAAGTGCGCATCTTATGTGCTTTGCCGTCATTGACTTTGTTACAAGCTGTTCTATGTGCTTCGCTACAGCTTCGGTTTGCGGATTGGAAGCTTTAATTCTCTCATCACACCGATTTGCCCATGCAGATCCCTTGCAGATCAAAGGCAACCTGGCTTGCGGCTGAGGCCGCAGTCTCCTCGATGGCTTGTTTCCAGGCGGTTTCTGAGGGTTCGGAATCGGAATGTTTTTTGGGAGAACCCGAATGGGTTGTAGCCCTTTGTGAATGACGCAGGGGATGGACAGTTATTCTTTCGAACGGGATGACACGTCAAGAAGTATCAATCTTCCTGGCCAAGAAACGCAGGAGAAGGTACAAAGATGCCTTGGACACCCTGCGCCAAATACGCGGCAAGAACGAAGACGTGAGGCAGGGAAGGAAACAAGCCGTGAATCAGAAGCATTAGATTTCAATCCAGTTTACAGCTTTCAGCAGGAGTGTTATACTATATTGTGGCATAGCCTGACTTTTGCTTGATGGGACAACACATACGAGCAAGGGTTCTTCCACGGCCACCTTAGTAGTGAAGGGACATCCCTGTCAGTTGGTGACACAATGAATATAGACAGTGACTCATACTATGCAATTTGATCGTAGCTCTTGTTCGAAGTGTTTGCTTTCGCAGGCACGAGCTGGCGCGCTGCTACAAGGAGTTCAGAAGAGAGAGGACGCTTTGCTTGGACGGATTGTG